CTGGTTGGTGCTCGTGGATGCGCTCTGCTAGTCTTCTGCCTGCCTGCCCTTCATAGTGGCTGTTACAGTCCTTGCACTGTATGTTGTAGATGACTCCTGTTTTTTCTTCTTGGGCTACTGGGTCTTTTGGTTTACTTAAAATGTTGGGGGGGGGGGCTTTTGGTTGGTTTGTGTGCTACGGTGATGCCTATGTGCCATCAATAGACACATAGAGTTAAATTACTAACGTTATTTTCTTTGACCTGTTTCTTCTAATTGGTCAATGTGTCTGTAAATACATGCATGCATCCATACATGCATACATACATACATACATATATACATACATACAGCATTGGACTTAACAATAGAATTTTCTGGCTTTTCCATTGTAAAATCTTGAAATACCATGATGCTATCAGGCCAGAAGTATAGCTCCTTGAAAGAAACAGTAACATAGAAACTTTGTTCTGAATATACTGGTGACTGTGACAAGTTCAGTTGTTAACCTTTAAAGACTGTTTTCATCCTTTGTAGTAAACCTTGGATTCACACATTGTGCTGAGCACAACAATTCATATTGTTTTTTATCGTGAGCATTATAACAACCAGTTACATGTCTCCTAAGTCAGCCATTTTTCAAGAGCACGCACATCATGTTCTCAAACATTTTTAATGTGTCCTCTAGTCCAAAATGTTTAAGGGCCCCTATCTTAATACAATGTTTAATCCAATCAATACATGGAGTGGTTAGGGCTGCTTTTTGATACAGATTCTGACTAGAAAGAGTTGTGAAGTTTTTAGTTTTCTATTAATGTAATGGGGAGCATATATTTTTTTTAAAAAAGCAATAACAGTTTGCTTGGATTTGAAAGTCACTTACTCCAGATACATAGTAGTAGTATAGGACAAGCATCTTGGTATACATAGGAGGGGGGCTGTTCTCCTTCCTTTTATCCCCCCAAGAACAGCTTTGTGAAATAATCACCTAGTGGGCTCCATAGCTGAGCTGGGATTTGAACATGGGTCTCCCTTGTACTTTTTTTCTTCCCACTGCAATACTTCCTACTCTTAAACAACACCAAATTTGGTTGATTATCTAATTCCTCTTTTGGCACACCTGCCTTCAAATAAATTGCTGGCTGGGGAATTCTGAGAGTTGAAGTCCACACATCTTAAAGTTGCCAAAGTTGAAAAACATTGATCCTGCTTTCTAAGTTACCCTCCCTAGTTGGCACTTCTTCCAACTCAGCCTTTTACACCCACATCTTCTTTGCACCAGACTCACATACTGTAGTTTACCCTTCCATTTTTCTGAATCCTAGCCGACATCAACTGTTACTGACTTCATTTGCAACAGTGCATGAAATCCTCCTCACAACACCAGCTCTAACAAGCCTGGGAAAAGAAGCCCTCTTAAGATGGCACAGCACTCAATGGGAATAAGTTGTCAACTACATAGAATGTGCCCTAAATGGCTCTCTCACTCGCTATTGCACATTGAAGAAAGAGGAAAGAGTTTAGAATCAATGTGTTGATTGCTTTTTCATCCACTCCATATTTGCATATATTTGCATGTATATTGCATATATTAAATATTTGCATAACTTCTGTTCCTCATGGTTCGATAGCATCTCCTGACCTAGGGAACCAAGCGAGTACATTACTCAGTTATCTAATTGCAGTCTGCTAAGGCACCCACCACCATTCATTCCCTTTGCTTTTCAGTAAGACCTATTAGGTAAGCTGGATGTAGGTGGGAGTTCATGGCAGTTAGCCCTGGTCAGCAGCAGGAAATAGTTGCAAGGTATATGCACACATCCAGATGCACACTGATCAGAGACACAAGGCAAGAGTTGGCATTCTTAACCCACTTCCTGACCCTATGTTCTGCACTTTCACTTACACTTCCCTCTGCAATGGTCAATGGGGAAGGTCATGCACATCTCAATAGGAGCCAGGAATGCTGGCACAAGTACTTTCTAGACACCAGCCTGAGCTCTCAGACTTGCAACATTTGCAGAGTCTCCACAATCAGCAGGCCTCACCACACACACAAAATGCTCAATACACAAAAGCAGAACTTCACCACTTGCTCCCGCAGAGCTTGCCAGTCACTCAAAACAGAAGGAAAAAAAGTCTCTAATTAGGAATTCAAAGAAGAAAGCCCCAGATTAAGTTGAGCTACCCTTGGGGCCCTATCCCTAATACTACAGGACATGCCTTCCCTAAAGCAGTCATCCAATATCAGGTGCTTCCTGTTTGCGATGCCAAGAATGTGATGGAAAACGCACTCCAAAAGCACCAACAACTGGAGAGGATCTTGTTTTCTAAAGCCAGCAGTTTACAGTGAGTTGCTGGTCTCTTGCACCCAGACAATCCAAGAGCAAGAGCCACAAGATTATATACTGTAGGTCTTCTACTGAATAAGTTCAAGCATGTGAATGTACCAGCAGAAATTCCCAAATACAGAAAAAGTGGCTTTACTACTGATAAGGAAACAAGATATTAACTACAAAGGGAGACATGGGTATCCTTCTCAACCTTGTGGCTAAAATCAAGTCTAGGCCCACAATATTATTCTAATACACTGACCCTGCATTTACAGGGGGAAAGGGAAGGGATAAGGAGGCACAGCAGCAAATAACCTTGAAAGGAATCATGCTTCCTTTCACGGTGTAAACTCTATAATCAATTAGTCACTACCAGACACAGATTGATGCAATAATAAAAATTCCATTCTTGGGATGCTACATGAGAAATACAACTAAGGATATCTATAGATAAAGAAATATACATATAATGCTATATTTACCTATGGAAGCATAAGCATGGTTCTACAGTTAATTCAAGTTCTCTCTGGTTCATGTCCAATCTACATCCCTATCATTCTAGCTTACCCAGAATGAATTACCAGGTTTACAAATGAAGCTAAGATGTAATGTTTTGGCTCACCAGGTTGTATGCACTTAGCCATTGTGGTCTATAGATCACTATTTACAGCATAGCATTATCAAGAGAAATGTAGCTCAATCAGCAAACCATGAGTTATGGAATCTATGATTCCACTAATAAGATGATCAACAATCTTAGATGAGAATCCTCCTTTCTCTCCATCTTCCTCTCCTGTTTCTAGGCTTGACAAGAGAGAGAGTGAACAGAAAGCAATGGGCTGGAATTTACATAGTGTGCTCAGCATGGTCTGACTTTCCTCCGGAACTGCTCAGCCAAACACCTACTGCTTCTCTGTTGGGGGAAGAACCTCTCTTAGGATTTCTGCCCAGTCCTTCCTCAAAGACCAAGGCTTCTCCACCAACAGCTGATCCCCTTCTTCCCTTCTAGGGTCTTGGGTGAAGACACCACCTGCAGCCAGCCAGGTCCCTTCTTCCTGTTCTTGGGTCTTGGGTGGAGCTCTTGGGTGAAGACCCTCTGGGTCTTCACTTCCCTTCTTCTAGGGAAGCCACCTCTGGACCTTTCTTCTCCTTTCCCAACCAGGAACTGACAACTGCTCTGCACACTTAACTTCTCTCTCCAACCTTTCTCTCCAGCCACTCTGTTCATTCCATGTACAGTCTTTTTCTCTCCTCTCCTCCTCTCTTTCTCCTTCTCCTTCTCTCGCTTTCCAATTTTTATATTAGACTGGCAGCATGTCCCCCAGCAACTGAGGAGGTGGGTATCCAGATCAACTCATCAAGCCTTGTGACAGCGCAGCTGCCCTTCAAAGCCAGAAGTGAGCTTCTTTTCTCCTTTTCCTTACTCCAATGGCTGGCTCATGCCAGCAGAACAGCAGCCAGGGCAGGTCACTCAAACCCATATGTCACATACACATATTATCATATCATGGCCCTGATATAATAGAGAAGGATGAAATTGTAACAGTTGTGTGTTAAGGTCCTGTTAAGCTTGTTATGATAACAGGAAGCTAATGAAATGTTTTACTACTTTTAAGGGTGAATTCTGAAGTTACGTGCACCTGAAAGCCTAGTGACCTTTTGCTGTTGAATATGCATTGCTGTGGTTTCACTTCTACAGTGGGAGAGATGCAGTCCCATTTTTGTCACACGCCTAGGGATTCTTTCAGCTTCTGAAATTGCAAGAGGTGGGGCTCTGACTCAGTGCTTGTAACACCTACTGAGCAACTTTTACCACTTCAAAGCTTGTAAATATCTTTTAGGAGCCATTGTTCTTTTAGAGGTGCTCTTCATCGCATATGACTGGAACTTGATGGCTTCTAGAATGGGATCACTTACTACCTTCCTGCAGGTAAGAACTATACAACTGGAAGGACTTAGGGTTTCTGGATAGACTGTCCATATTGGTGTGCATGCACTTCCCTTTATCTTATCTAGAAAGATGAAGAAACCAGTTAGGTGATAACAAAAGCTCTAAGAAGCCAATGTTGTATCCTACAATGCATGGCTTTTAAAATCCCATAATCTCACAGAGTAGGTTTTTTTTTTAAATCCAAATATGAAAACTGCTCCTGGGAGATATGAATAAGTGGGATTTGGAAGAAGCCAGTGAGAAAGTATGTCTGACTTTTTGGGGGGGGGGGATTTTTAACAAAGACCAGCCCATATTCTGATGAATTGATGAGCAAAGCAGCTATTTGTGTTGGTTAAGGGCCATTTGTAAATGTCTCTATAGAATGGGAATTAGAAGAAATAGCTGTAACTATTAAAATGTACTACAAAAAACAACAACAAAAGTTCTCCCTCTTGCAGTATTGAATTTTATAAATTTGTTTTGTTTAGCAGGTTCCAAACAGCGAAACAAAATTAATGGGAAATCAAGAGAGTCAACATACTGTTCAAGCACACGTGGGATGTAAGGTACTGTACATAAGACAGAAAATTAGAAATGAATGATTTAACTGGGCATTAGTTTTTATTTAGAGGACAGGATAAATAGGCATTTGGTTATTAACTAAAAAGAGTTAATGTCTTTCTTGAGCAGCAAGAACAATTTTTACAAGGAAATTTTCTAAGAATTCAGTTTATCTTCTTTTTTATTACTGCAATCCTCAGTCAACTAAACATTAGTTTAGAAAAGGGTATCATTGATATAAAGAAGAGTTATTGCAGGAAATGAACTCTTGAGTTCTTCCTCTCACATACCACCAAGTGTTAATTTCAGTATGACTTGAGGTTGTGGGAACTTGCTCATCTCTATGGAAGCTAGGCATATGTAAAGATTAAAATTTCATGAATACAATAAAAAATCAGCAGTATAGACCTACAAAATTGGGTAAGCTTTACGAAATTCAATAGGAATGGCTTCTAAATGGAGATGCAGAGCAATTAGTAATCTAAAACGAGACACAGAGTTTTAGTAAAAGGGGGAAATACTTTTTTTTTTTTTGCTGAATAGTGGCTTAATTATATATTATATTAGGAGTTGCCTAAATTTTACTAAATATCAGTTTATACACAAAATTTAAAATTATTTTCAGGAAAATAGCAGATCTAAACCTTTTGAAACTACAATGAGACATAAGTATATATTCTAGAGTAATGTTGCATTGAGTGAGCTGTAGTACCCTGAATATTGTGCTAAAGAAAGATGTACTTATTGTAGAAGGAGGTGTTTATCATTTTGCTACTGTGTTATTATGATATGTTATTGTTACTATGTATATATACTGACCTGCAAGACATATAGAGTTGGCCAGATTGAAGCAACCTATCCACATAGATAGATAAATATATTCTTAATTTTTACTTAACTGCAACCAACAACCCTAGTCCAAAGATAGTGTTTGAATAAAATACATAACTGTATAACAAATAATCAGTGCCATAGACTGGAGTAGGTAATGGATCCCAATTCTGCAACAATTAAGAATTGTTATTTAGCACCTTGTTCCTCCTTCCTTCTTCACTTTTTTTTTTTAGATTTTTTACCCCACCTTTATTATTTTTATAAATAACTCAAGGTGGCAAACATACTAAATATTCTTTCCTCCTCCTCTTCTCCCCACAACAACAACCCTGTGAGGTAAGTTGGGCTGATTGGCCCAAAGCCACCCAGCCAGCTTTCATGTCTAAGGAGGGACTAGAACACACAGTGTCCTGGTTTCTAGCCTGGAGCCTTAACCACTAGATCAAACTGGCTCTCTTTACTAGGTCTTTCAAATGCAACAGTGTCAGCAATTGGTTTATTACTCTGAGCATGATTCAATAAAAAATATGCTTTAAGGGGAAAAAAGCACATGACTTCAAATGCTGAATGCATCCATTAATTTATTTGTATGCCACTTTTTCACAATAAACTGTATCCAAAGTGGTTCATGACAATATTAACACAGTTGAAACAGATGTCATTTGAAAACAGCAAGTATGCAAATTCAAATCAAAATCAACAATAAATTTGAAGTCAAAAAGTTTATTTTTCATGTTCTTTTTCTTTTTGCATGTTCATACCTATGAACTGCTGAGAGTCATTGGGAGTTCGGCAGTATACAAATTTAATTAATAATAATAATAATAATAATAATAATAATAATA